AAGGGAGGGCCACGGGGGTGCCCGGCAGGACACGAAGGCGCGACGTGGAGACGGTCGCTAAGGGAGTGACAACAGAGCGATCAACAGAGGGGCTGCTGCGCGGGGAGGAGCGGCTGTGGCAGCCCCCCGCTGCCCGCCAGGCCTGCGAGCCAGCCCCGCACGGAAATAGCCGTGCCCCTCCGCTGGCAGCCCACCGCGCACGGGTTATTTTGGATCGGCCCGAGCGAGATAAAACTTAGATCGGGGAAGCGCGGCTGATTTACAGCAGCTTCGAGAGCCGCGTGCTCGGCTGCGGGTGAGAGAAAAGGCTTCCCGGCCTGCGCAGGAACATCACCCGCGACGCCAGCGCCGGCTGAGGGGAGCGGGGCCCGCTGCGCACCCGGCCGTGCCCTGAGCGGGCAGCGCTCCTGCCTCACGGCCACGCTTCCATCCCACAGCCTACGGCGCCGCCGCGGCTTGCTAGCCTTCTTAGATAGGCGTCTTGGGCCACAAAACCGGCTTTGGGATTTCCGTCCTCCCTCCTGCGCGGCATCCGCTCCAAAAGCCGCTGTGCCTGTTCGAATCTAAGCCTCTGGACCAGCAGAGTGGGGATGTGCGACTAAGCCCAGCTTGCTTAAGCTCACGCTGCCGCACCGTACCTTAGAAAACAAGGAAGATGTAGAATCCTCTCATCACAAAATTTATGTTCTGAACTGCAGCAAATACCTTGACAATCTTATGTTCCAGCAAAGCACTAACAATGATCTCCTACACTGCTGTGGCAAGGCCCTGTGTTACATACACTCTTTTTTTTTTTTTCCTTGTTGAAAAGGAGAGGAAAGAATTATGCTCATTTACTAAGCTTCCATAACTGCAGAAGATTGGCTACCTTAAAAAAATAACAGTATTTCGATGCAAATATAAACTTATCACAGGCTTCCTGAAGCACATGCAGCATAAAGGCAGTATGACTGCAGAGAAGGTATCTGCTTTCAAGGGGATTTGCATTCTCATTGAATGCTGGACCAGGTCCAGACCAGCCGGAGGATAACCACCCTCTAACCTCCCTGCGGAGACTTACAGAGATGAGACTGAAGCAGTATCATTTCTGACAGAAATCAAATCTTGGCTACTGCACTGCTGGGAACACTACAGACAGGAAGAAAAAAAAAAAAAAGTAGGGAGGAATTGGAATTAAAACAATTCTGTGAAGCTCATTTAGGTAATACTTTGTCAAAGGACCTGATATGGCAATACACTGCGTGTTTACTGAATGAATGCAGAAGTTAAGCATCTCCTAGTATAAAATATAATTTTAACAAATGGAACATACAAATGTTAACGCTGACATAGAACATGGGCTCAGTTACATGCCTAGGTTAACCAAGCTAAATAATACATCTAGTCAAATCATACATGAAACCACAAAGCATTCAAAAAACACAATTTGTTCAAATTCTCATCAGTTCATATCACAGCACTAGCTTTTCAGAAGACAGGATAATTCCTAGGTCTCCAAAGATTCAAAAACAAGTGATCTTAATGGAAGCTTATGAATATTAGGATATTGCATTACAGGTGCTGGGCACATATTCAGTACTTCTTTCTTGATGTAATGCACCCAGAGACATAGATAAGAAAATCCCAGGACAGACTGATGAGCAGCTTCCAGGTATTCCCTATCTTGCTGTACTCATTCTGCTGTAGTGGTAGAAACCTTTGAGTAGCCACAACAAACTGGATCATAAAAACTGCAAGCAATTTTGGAGTGCCAGCAAAGCACAGGAGGCAGCACAGAAATGGGAGCAAAATGACTGCCCAAGGCAGCAACCACTCAGTTCTGCCAATCTGGCCAATAAATGAGTAATCTTCATATATTGTGTTCAGGGCCAGTATGCTCTAAGACTGTCCCAAAAGAAGAAGCATCTGAATTGTATTAGATTGTATTAGACCTACAGAGACTCATAGCTGTGGCTGGACTGTCTGTGAAAATATGTCTAGACTACAAGAAAATGTAATGTTTTAGAATGTCATAGTTGGCTTGTTTAAGCTGTAATACTGGCAACCCAAATTATAGATACACCAAACCCAAAAGACAGATAGATATAAAACCATTACAAAAACATTAGGTGCAATTTATTTTTCAGCTGATACCTAAATCCGTACTTATTTAAGTCACAGTTCAAAATACTTCTCGCTAGAATATTTGTTTTTCAGTTTTACAGCAGTTGTAGCAGAAATGTTAATATTAGTCTGACAAATGCATGGACAGAAACAGCCTGTCCGTAAAAGCAACGGGAAGGGCAATAGAGCAAAGTCACGGTAAAAACCCCAAAACAATTTGAGAACCATGGACATACTGATAGCCATCAAACAGAGAAGAACTGAGTAACGTGGTGTTTCCACCACCAGAATTGTTGTGTCCTAGGAAGCCCACAGCATGGATTAGCAAAAGACCTCTGCCCTGACAGAGGGAGGATAGCAGTGAGGTTGCACCATGCTCTGTGTGCCCCTCCTTTTCCTGTTCACCCAAAAGGGAAGATGACTGTATCCAGGAAGACACCCACAGCAGGCAAACCCAGGAAACAGCCTGCAAACTGAGATTCACCTAGGGTGAGGTAAGCAAGAATAAGAGGTGAAAAGATGGACCATAATAGTGTGTTTGACTGCCAAAGGATAGAGCAGGCCTACACAAAAAAACAAAGCATCACGATGCACAAATCAAGCAACGTGGTGAGAACTTGGTGGGTGTCCTCCAGGGACAAAACTGATCCTGGCCAGATCACTTCTTGGGCACACATCCCATAGCCCCCTTCTTAAAAGCACGGGGGTTGTGAGAGTGGGAATGAAAATGATAAGAAGCAAGTGTGGGACAAACCAGTTTTGTTTAAAACAGATACCACCTTCTCTTTCCATAACGTCTCTCTGAGGGGTTTTTTGCATTAATTTTCTTGTGTTAACAAGTGACATGAGCTTCTCAGATAATCATTAGAATCGCAGAGTTGAAACTTGCAGAATACTGCAGAATATACAATAAAATTACAAGAACTAGCAGGCAATACTGCAAACAATTTAACACACTAGCACGTAAGAAGGCCAAGTGATGGAGAACCCCACTGCTGTTTATTTTACCTAGTTAATGATTTTAAAGTACAGTTTGCTCCATCGAAGTGTTTAAAGAATATTTGCTTTAAAATACCTCACTTTTTAAAACCCCTGTTTTTAAATGTCCTCCTGGCACATTTAAATGGGCTCCATGAAAACCTCAATCAGCAGTGCATGCTAGACGAGATTTAGGGTCAGATTGTATGTTAATTATTTGCACAGAGACATTTTCTGAAGAGACAGGGGAATGAATGTACAGTAATTGTGGCCTGCCTCTAAAAATGGGACAGATTTACCAGAGGGGACAGTACTTGTAACATCAAGAGACCTGTCAGTGTTAGTGCTTTGCCATCACATGTCTGTGTGGGTTCTTTCTCTGCCTCCACATCCACAGAAATCTGGGGATGTTTGCCCAGGGAAGGCAGCTCTTCATCTGATACAAAATTTAGGAGCTAATGCGGTTTGCTATTACTTGAGCCAAACATTAGGAAAGGGAAAAAAAGCCCAAACCACCACACACACACACACATACATACATACATATATATATATATATATATATATGAAGGAACAGGGCGGTTCTGTAGGAAATAAAACCTGGAGCTATTCTGGATTAACAATTTCCTCACAGAATTAAAGCTGAGATTTACCTGAAAATAAATTTACTTTTATGCTGAAATGAATTGGTCCCAAAGATTTGCGGGGAGAGGGAGGGTGCAGAGGGTGAGTGTCACATCAATACAGCTACAGCTTGGTAACCACTCTGCTAATGCTGGAGTGAAGATCCTCACAGTACAAACTAGCTCTAAGATCTGGTCTCTTGTTTCTGCACAGCAACACGTGGTTAATTTACAGGTGTAAGTCCTACCTAAACGGTTTACACAGCACACCTCTTAATACAGACACCCCTACAGTTGTGGAGAAGTTTCTCTGTGATGCCATACCTTTTCTTGTGTGGGAATACTCTGGTAGTATAGACAGAGAGAATTGGTACTGAAATCAAACTGTTTCACATATTTTCAAAATAATTTGTTGCTGCAGAGTGCCTGCTTCCAAATGCTGGTTGCTCTTCAAGTACCAGTTGCTGTTTTCTGAGATTTATGACTGAAAGAATTAAAACCAAAGAAAACTAAAATATATCTCCAAGGAATACTAATAGCTCCTTCAAGCTCTGCCACATTCTAGATCTTATTATTACCATAAAAGATTGTTAAGGTAATAGATATCCCTCTCTAAATTTAAACATTTTTTACCAAAAAGTGAATTCTAATTCATTATACAAATATCCCATATCCCAAACAACGATCCATGCAAATGATAACTAGGTGATCATTTGCCCCATTTGTACATACATTTAAAGAGCAGCTGAAAATTTTGGCTGTTGTAAATGTATGTGCATGCCACTGATTTGCAAACGTAGGACTAATGTCCTGGAAACATTCAAATGCCCAGTGGCATCAGCAGGAATTGAGGGATTTCAGCATTTGCCAGAACTGAGCCTTTTCTACAAGTGGGTATAAACACATTTGCTTGCACATAGAGAGCTTTTGAATAAAACACAGATGGACAATAATTTCCTATTCATCTGGACATCCTCAGAGATTACATTCCTGACTATAGTTTTAATGTTATAAATTAAGATTTGGTAGTTCCTTTAAACATAGTTCATTTATTTTCTACGGATTCTGAATTGTGGTTCCCAGCAAATTAGGAGAACATATTTCTAGCCAGCCGACCAATCATAATATTAACTCTCTCACACTTGCTAATAACCTTTAAGGAAGCTTTACTATTTATATCACAGCCACGAAAACATCCAAGAAGCACATTAATTAATAGTGATAATAAAAAATAAAGCCCTCAGTCACACGTTCCAGTCAGTCACTTGCACCCATATATTTTTAAAATGAACAAAATACATTTGCAGTTTGACAGGGAATTATTTTAAGGCCCTAGTATCCCTTAGAATCTCTTCTCACGTCTTTAGATGTCTGCCTTTCACTCGCGCGGGCTGAAATGTCTAGACATCCAAATTAAGGAGTGACCAATCACTGACAGACTGATCTCTCTGCGTACAAGGTCAGCACTACAGAGGCACACACGCTCGCACACGCACACATGCTGGCAGCAGGCACCGCGCAGGAGACCTTTATTTGTGCACAAAAATATTGATGTTGCTAAGTGATACGCAGGCAGCCGCTGGCCGTAAGAATTTGTGTTTGTTTGTTTATCGCTGTGACTTCTTTCCCAAGTAAACAATACAACGGTGATGCCGAGATGGAAGAACCTGTCTAAATTAAAACAGCTATGGAACCTAATTTGTTATGTCTGCATGGTATCAACCTATTGCTTCCCCCCCCCTCCCCACCCCCGATTTTGTCCTGTTAAAGTCAGAAGGAAAAAATTTAGGAGGAACTTCAAAGCACACATGTTCCAAATGGTCCCAATCATCCTACTTTTCTTCAGTTAAACAATAAAAACAATTTATTTGCAAAGTCCCCTCTGCATCTTAAGTTTGCTGACACCACACTAAAGGAAAATTTTTGGTATTAAAATAAAGGTCCTGTATTAAATTCATATGTCTAGTCACTGGAATAAGGGGCAACCTGACAATACTGTCTCATCACACTGCATAAAAAGTGTGGATAGACTTTCCTTATCTAAAAATTCAGTGCAGTTCCATTCAGTTCAATCCCCCCAAAACAAAAACACACACACAAAAAAACCCAACTTTTTTGTGTCATCCCTAATTTGAAAAACTGTATTTTGTGATACTAAAAGTAGGTTTTTGGAACCACAGGTGTCCATGACAGGGGTCCTGTTCAGAGGTTTCAAAATAAGTTAGCTTTCTTGACTTCAAGGGTGCCAGAGTATGGAGAAGCTGGGTTTCCTTATTCAACTCCCCTGGCTGGCTTTCAAGGCCTGGCTTTCAAGGCTTCTGGGGTGTCCCAGCAGTGCTGCAGGGCCCCAGGCTTGTGATCCCCCTGATCCAATGGATCTCCCCAGGGGAGGTGCCCAGGTGAGATCCTGGGGAGCTCTGCAAATGCAGGTTCCAGACTTTACTGTGCTGTCTGCGAGCACGTTGGGATGGAACTGGCCCAGTCTCCTCCTGGAAGTTTCCAGATTCCCAGAGATGTTAACAGTCAACATGATAGACGATTAGACTGCAAATCCTTTTTTTCAACAGAAAAATATTTCACAGAGCTGTGGCATAGCAGTGACACCACTGAAGCCAGGCCTCTCTCCCTCTCACCTACAGCAGTGCCACCGACACCTGGAACTACACAGAACATATTAGAAAAACAGTGAGTGTATTTTGACTTTGATTTAATTTTAGCAGCAAGTTACAAAGATGAGTACCAATGGCAACTGGCTGTGGGAAGCACACCTTGAGGAACATGTTAAAACTTCTTACACCCTACTAGAACAGCAAAAGCCTGCCCAGCAATATAAAGGTGAAAATGAGCTGAGAACTAATGTAAACCAGTAATTCAGATAACTTGGTTTTGGTTTCACTCTAGGCTCCTACAAGTCCTATAATAAATCACAAGACAGTCATAAACTTCTGGGTTTGTCATGCACATACCAGTTTCTCCCAAACTCTGTTTCACCCTCTTCCAGTAAAGCAACATCCAGTCTACAATCCCAGTATTCTGCCAAGTGACTGAATTTTGGATGTCTTGATACATAACCGTACCCAAAGCAGTGCTGCTCCAAACCATCTTCCATTCAGCCACCCCAATCAGACACGGCAACCATTAGTCCAGCAGGGACAGGACAGCTCGGTCCCTTTCTCCCTACATCGGTAATTTCCTGGATGAGTCACCAGTCCTTCTCTGTCCCAGTTTGTCCATCTGTACAATGTTAATTGTAACAATACCTACAAAGCAAAAAGCATTGCTTTAGATTCCATAGATTAAAGACCAGAAATGTTCCTGTTCTGGACAAAAGCAATTCTTTGTCTTATTTCTGAGCTGCTTGCATGGCCAGCACTGGAAGCAGACCATCCCTTCAGGAATCACGAGGTAAGTATAGCAAAATCCTTATTCACCCAATCAATACTTTCCATCAAACCATTATTTCTGAAGATGTGCTCTGGACAAATACTTCAGTTGTGGGGTAATGAAAGAAGAAGGAAATGAGGACATAAATAAAACATGTTTTCATCAGAAAAGCTGTACGCTAATTAGAAATGTTCTTTTCTAAGAGACTTCTATTTGTAGGAAGAATGAGATGCTGCAAAGAACAGACACTACATCGAAGGACCTGACTTGCCTTAAACTACAATATAACCTCTTAGGCAATCAACACACACTGTGAAGAGCATGTAATGACATATGAACTTATTTATATTGCTCTTCTTCCTCGTCTCTTAAAAAAAAATTTACGTCTCACTAGAATTCTAATTGTCCTACTGAAAGTTCACACTTCTGATTTTGTGCAGAGGAGAAAGCTTATTCTCAAATAAACCTTTCAGGATGGGAAAGTGACAAGGAAGAAAAGATCAAGTCAGACAAGTATAACTGGAAACTCAGATGTAAAGATTTCAAATATTTCAAAAGATGTCATGATAGGTATATTCCCACCTCATTCCAAGCAAATAAGATTAGCATGTATTACTGAGAATTTTATGCCTCAGTAGAAGGCCCTAATTATATTTCACACTGCTCTGAAGATTCCTGTAATATACACACATCTTTAATGTGGAATTTTATACCCTATTTATAGCATATAGGCTCTTTTTGATATTATTACTTTTCTATGAAAGTTCCTTTGAAGTCAGGTAATTACCTTAAGCGAAATATTTAGCCTGTTGTGAGAACTGAACCATAAGATTTGTGTAGAACAAGTAAGTCATCATGTAGCTAAATATAAAGGTTTCTGAGCCACAAGTGGGGATGGAAACATTCATTATGAAGACAAAGCCAAGCATGCATTTTAAAAGTAATTTAAAGTGAAAGCTGATAAATCTGTGTGGTGCTACACTGTGCTTCATTCATGTCCCTAAAAACTATTTGAGCTAAGCACTAAAGAGAGAAAGCATTTCATTAGTAGTTACTATCCTTAGTAAAGCCACAGACCTGGCCAGAGACAGGCTGTAACTGTGAAGAGCTCAGGAGGAGTTGCTAAGATGGCTAATAATGTTCTACAGAATCTTATCCCTAACCAGAAAGGGTGCATCATTAAAGACTTGTAAATCTCAATTTTTTCATACTAGATGAACGTGTGTCTCTTTCTTTGCAAAGCTATGTATCTCTTTAGTGGGATAAATCATAGAATCAAATTTCATATAGCCACCATGTATCAAAATATACAGTTATGTCACTTTCGTATTGCATTTGATCTAGGACTAGACCATGACCATTTTTATTTGACAGCAGCGTTTTAGAGATATCACTTGTAGTGAGAAGTTACCAGCAGATTCCCCTCTTCACATCCTCAGGCACAGTTCTTTGAAAATACCTAAAAGTACAGGATGTTAAAAAACGATGCCATATGGGTTTGCAATTTGTCATGCAAAAGTTGTCCCTCATAAGCAATGCATAGCATAACACATGAACCCAAAACTTCAAGATGTAACAGAGCCATACGTACTGTGCATACACTCACACTCACACACAACACAAAAAGCCAGTCAGGCAATGAAGGAACATGAAACCAATTTATTATCATTTTTTACAGGGGGAACAAATTCACCTAATCTGCTGCATCCAGACAGGTTTTCCCAATTGCATCCACTTCAGTAATCTGAGAATTAAAACTGCTGTTTCTCTTACATTTTTTGCCGAAGCAAAAGTCTAGCTTCATATTAAGAATGCTTAATAAAACCAACACACATTAAAAACAGTCAGCAGGGAGTGCTGCAATTAGATGCTTGCACTGTGCTTCCCTCTGTACCTACATGCAAATAATTTTCATCTTATACGGACTTTCAGAATCTTCATCATGGTGCTGCAGTTAGAGAGACCTCCTCCCTTTTTTTGTTTATGTGAGATGTAAATGTAAGGCTGTCAATTGCTTATCACCATTAGTTTATAGAATAAAATTACTTGTAAATTGGCTAAAAAATATAAAGTTCCCCACTTCATGTGGCATCTTGTTAATTAAGGCTAGTCCAGTCTAGTCTAATCTAGTCTAATTGAAGACACTGTTACTGCGGTTCCATCCCCCAAAACTTAGGGCTGGAGGACTACAACTAAAAAGGCACATGAGATATGGGTCCATAAGGATACAAAAACTATTTAAGATGACAGAAGTATCTACATAGATTATATGAAACATTTTGCTTGACAGAATATAAAAATGCTATTGAGTATGTTCTTTTTTGGGAAGTGGGAGGGCAGTGTTTGGACTAATAAGGGCAATCATAGGAAACACAGGCATACATTATCCTCTCTGTTGAGTTAGTCAGATGCAAAATTCACTCTGATTGCTGTGGGATTCTCTATATAAAGCTGGAGTCTACCGAGTCTACAGAATGCTTCGTGTTCTCAGTGTAATTCCTTCCATCCGAGCAAACAATGCTCAGCATTGGATAGGAAGCACTCTTCCATCGTGTAAAATTGGCTGCACATAACTTTTTTTACAACGTCTGCAATTCTCTGTGTTCATATTCTTCCTTCCCCGAGTAACCTACTGAAAGGTCTGAGGCACGTACATGAAAGAAACCAAACTGTCAGGAGGAAACTTTAGGAGGGAATAGGAGAAAGGCTCTGAACCGCAGGCTCACAGAAGGGCTGAGGGAAGGAGGGACCTCTGGAGGTCATCTGAAGCAGGGCCACCCAGTGCCAATTGCTCACAGCTGCATCTGGCTTCTTCTAGCCTTTCTCTGGCAAATGAGGGGCTCAGTTTGAGGGGAATAATTGCAGCTGTCTCACCTCACCCCAGGGATGCTACAGGATACAGTCCTTTCCTGAACCACTTCCACAGTGTATCTTTTATGAAAAGTTCAACCTTTCTTTAAAGGCTTCAGTCAGAGCCTGGTGGCATTTGACATCAGCTTTACTGATGCCACAGTCTGACAAAGGAGAATTCCATTTTGTCAGAGCTTTGTTCCCAACTGCTGTATCCTAGCCTGCAAATATAGCAAAATGTCTCTACCAGGAGCGAGTATGCAAACAAACAAAAAAATGCTGCAAAAATATTCAGTGTGAAAGAAAGCCACACCCACCATCTAGGTCTGTCCGAGTCCATCTTTTCAATGTATTTATATCCTCATGTTGCAGGTTTGTCAGTTTATTAATTGAAAATTTGTCTGTGAGAGTCTCTCGCACGTTCGTTAGAGTCTTTATAAAGATATTCCTTGCAAATGCCGTGAGGTCACACTCAAAACCATGGTGTGAACTATGCCAGACATCGAATTTGTGAAGGAGCTTCTCCCGGGCCCGTGCGTGCTGTCTGCCTCTCTGCGCAGAACAGATCCGAGGGGAGGTGCAGCCACAGCAGGCCCTTCCCTGACGCCCAGCAGCCGCCACGGCTCCTCTCGGTCACGGCAGATTCCCACGAGATGGCACGGCACCATTTAATCTGAGTTTAATCTGAGATTTTAAACGATGACTCCTTCACTGACGCAAAAGTCTGCCAGCGCACGGCCTCACTACACATCTCTCACGATTCACTTCCCTCACGGACTGTCTTTGCAATTTGCCCTGGATCAAAACATTGCCGGTCTCTCCCTGCTGACAGCAGAGCACTTGTTTCTTTAGAGCTCTTCTGCAAAACAAAGTTGCAGTAACTTGGAAATAAAGGTAGTTTTAGGTTGTGTGATCTGCCTGAAACACACCGCTCAGGAAGTGAAACATTGACATGATAAGGAGTTGAAAATAAAAGGAGAAAAAAAAAAAAAAAAAGGAGTGTGGTTTTGGTTTGGCTTAAGGTTTTTCAGCTTTGATTTAAATCAGTCTTGAAACAGCCTTGAAATCTTAAGTAGGAAATTTAAACTGAAATGGAAGATTAACATTGGCTCATCAGTACAGACCCTCAGTTACACAAAATCTCCAGCAACAAATTGGAAAATGAAGAATACAGTGACATTTCTTGTATCCATGCATGAAATTGGAGAGAAAAATTACCTTTTACCAAAAGTTAAGTAAAGATTTCCCCTTATTTTCACTATCTTCATGGTTTCTACCACCTTTTCTGCCTGAGACAATATTTCAGCTGGGTATCTGGGAGCAATTTGCAGAGATGCTCCCATGCTGCTGGCTGTGTCCCTGCCTGTCCACAGCTGGGGAGAAAACAGTTAAGTTCAGCAGCAAAGGGACAAGAGAGGCAGCAGCCTCCGGCAGCCACGGCAACAACAATTTCTAGAGACTAGAGGCTGGAATTTCAGAGGGAAATAATCCCAACTGTCATAGCCAGGTCAGAGAGCAGGGCCCCAATGGCACTGGCTTGAGTTTTAAGGCAAAATGTTACCAGAGACATGTGTGGACCTGACTTTACCATCCTCTGAAGGGCCATAATAATGACATCCACATACCTGCAAGAGGTAATAAAACAAAGCAGGAATTTTGCTTGCACAAAATGTAAACATCAAAACAGATGGCGCAGTTATGTTAATCAGTTAATGTTTGCAGAGTGCTTTGAAGATGCAAAGCTCTGTAAAGGTACTAAATACTCACAGTCTTGTCTAGACATCATCAAGCTCATTTTTAGATTGCAACCTTTTCAGGCCAAACAGAGGCTCTCTGTATATGGCTGCACTGTTCCTTCTTGTAGCAGGCTCCAATCTCAGGATGTAAGAGAGGAATAACAGAGGAGCAGCTCCTGGAGGTGGGAAGCCCAAGCCAACAGCTCCTGCTAAAGCAGCATGAAGTAGCACAGCAAAGAGTAGGGAGGAATATCATCAGGGAATCAGATGGAAGTAAAAATGTGCTATACCAAATTTCACCAGACAAACAGGTAAAGATTGAGGCTGTCACAACAGATAATCCCATAAAAAACAGTTTGCCATGGTGGTGAGAACTGTATACTTGCATTAACAAGCCCTGATGACAAAAAATCAATCTTAGACAGAATAAACTATGTATGTGGACTTAACAGAGCTGTGAGAAGTGCAGAGGCAATCTTCATTGCCCATAGTCCAAGTATGGAATTGAACAAAGTGAGTTATTAACAATGAGATCACAGATTTTTTTTTAAGGTTTGGGAAAAATCCATCTAAACCATTTCAAAACTCACACTTTTTATTTGCTCTAAGGAATGTGGAATGCAAATAAAATTAAACTCCAGGGGCTTATTCTGCAATAAGCAAGCCTTCTGTGTTAGATTGCCTTGCAACCTAACCCAAACCTCACTGTTCTGACATTAAGAAACCACGGATCTCAGAAACCTTTTCCACTCACATTTCCTCATCAGCTCAGACTTTAAATGGGGAAAGAAGTCTGGTGTTACACAAAAGGTGCAGACAGCTGAAACACGTAATCCTTATTCATACCCTAAAAATAGGCCCTAACTGACCACCCAGTGCATAAACAGTGCTACTGAGCATGGAATTGGAGTAGGAGATTTCAGTTCAGCTGCTAGCTTGGGGCTAGGTGAGGAGCTGGCATATGGAACCAGCTTCCAAACCCTCTGAAACAGCCCCCCGTGACCCATTCTGAGGTAAAATGTACAAGATCCACGGGGGAATAGGATTCTTTTGCCTTGAATAGAAGCTCAGGTCTGGTCAGGATAGAAAGGATAAAGGAAGAAAGGTGTGTTTGTGTTTAGGAAATTGATCTTTTTTACTCTAAAAATAAAACTACTTTTTTCCTTTTATTTATTTATTTATTATTTATTTCCTTTTTTAATTTCTACATTGGTGAAAGACTGCTTTATTCTCGTTCACATTTTTGAACCATCCCTCAAAATCTAGCTTCTTACTGGGTGGTGGGGGAGTATGCCAGGGGTCTGCAACTAACTCACTATTCCCATAAACAGTGGTGTAACAAAGGCCCTGTGATATAGGCTCACTTGAATATTAATGACAGGTAAGGTTATTTTCCTGCTTTTGAGGTTTCTGCCTCTTTCCCAGCCTCTTCACTTCAGTTGTTAAACATTAATTTCTAAGCAGAAAGAAAGCTTTACTATCATTATAGCTCTTATTTTTCAATTTGTTCTCAAATAATTTCTGTCACCTTCCCAAAAAGAAAACTTTAGTTGGAAATGGATTAAATTAATAAAAAAAGTCCTTTGTAGTCCTTTGTAGTGGCAGAGCACATTAAAGAGCAATGCCAACAACATACTGACTTCTTTCTTTCCAGGGAAAGCACTGCCTCTCTCTCTTTGTTTCAAATGACATGTATATATAATAAGTCAAATTTTCAGTCTCATCTTAACTGGGTTACCAACTTCCCTTGCCCATAATTTTGCATACGCTCAGATAATTATGTCCTGAAATTTGCAAATACAATTACTTGCTGACACACTTTGTTATCTGAATGATAAAGTATTTGATTGTATCCAATGAAAACAATATTAAGATGGAGAAGCAAACGTGTTTTAGCAAACTTAATGCACTAACTTAAGCTTCTGTTGTTTTATGGAAACATGATCCTCTAACAGCATGTCTACACCCTGTAGAGAAGTATTGTCTGGAGACCTAACATTAAAAGCAGGAAAGCCACATGGCTGCATTACCATGTTTGCACTTGCCTGGTAAGAAATACAGCTGCTCAGGAGCAATCACCTTTTCTTTTTTTTTTTAAGACGAGTTGGCCTGAATAAAAATCATCAAGTTAATAATGGCATGTTAATCATGTCACAAATAACTAACAAAAAGGTGCTGCCAAGTTAAATTAGTTTAGCATTCACGTTCCATCTTGATATCTATAGGTTCACAACATGTAATAAAACTTCTTGATTTCTCTCCCTAAATGAAAATTTGCAAAAAGTGTTAAATAAGAGCTCCTGATGAGTAGAGCAGCTGTCAAGATATTGGGCTACGGTTTAGCAGAACTAAGAGATTTTTGATTGAGTTTAGTTATATTTCTCAGTAACTTCCGAAGCTACATTTATTTCTCATTAGTTCAAATTTAGAAAACCTTGTATTATCAAAATGAAACAGGAAATCCTTAAAACTGCACATTGGGTCTCAGAAGGCTGGCCTTCTCTCACCACAGTCTCACAGAGTTCTCGCTGGATTTCCTAGTGCTCACCATAAATGCAAATAAGTAACTGGAAAATCCAGATGAGATTCAACTGTATTTCAAGAACAGTTATGACATAAGACTGTCTTGATACAGAGCTCAGATGCGATGCTGGAGAGATTATACTAACAACTCATTTTGGCTAGCAACTTACCGGAGAGACTGCAAAGTAGGGGTAAGCAGCCTGTCAATTACATTTAAAGATCTTATTAAGTAAACCCAAATAATTTAAAAAAAAAAATACCAGTGTACTTACAGGCTTTATCAGTTAGATCATGAAGAAAAAACTTTTCATTAACAATATTATTCTCTGTGTTTGAACATACTGTCATCAATGTAAAAAATTACTTAGAGCCTGGAGTAATTTGTTTTAGGTCTTGAAAGTGGCACTGAATAAAAACACAGCCAAACACAATGAGAGATATTTAACAAATTAATATTATATGGAATCAATCAACATAAGTTACCACCTCAAACTATTCAGAAATTTGGCAGCACTTATATCAGGAGAGCTTAAATATTCTTTTTTCCTTTTAATTATCTAGTTTCAAAGCCTTCAGGGTTTCATATGTTTAAGCTTTTCTTTTCAACTGAGAGAGCTGGAAATTAACCTTCTTTACAGTGAGACCAAAATTCTTAAGCATTTCTATAATTTCAGTGAAGTCTTGAACAGTGTCAACCTCCAGCTGTAATCCAGAGTGTCAGCACTGTGCTGGCCAAACCAGAGACAGAGCACCGTACAAGTGCATAGTTAGAGGACAGGTAGCCACTGGGAGCTGCTCAGTATTTACAGCTGCACTTGACAGCAGTGTTACAAGGTCAACCTGGTCATATAATACAAGGGTCAACCTGACTGCTTCGTGTACTGCAGCCCCTGGGTGACCATACGCAGTCATCTGTATCTAAATGCTCCAGCAGCTCAGGAGGAAGCCTACACTTCATCAGACCCCTTCACAGGACACATCCTTCCAGTACACAGTCCTTGGCCACCAGAGACAAGCACAACACTTTTCCCCATGGGCTGCCACGTGTTGCTCCTAAAACCAACCCGAACTTGTGTTTGTATTCCAGACTTTGTTCCCATTGCAGCTATGCAGGATCAAAAGGTGTTTGCTCCTTTGCCTTAGTAGGCTCTACACCAACGAGATTTCAGGAAAATGTGCCAAGACTGCCAATCAGGGCTTTCATGTTGTTGTTGGAGCCTAAGGAGGGCTGACACAGTGTGTTTACAGCTCATGTGGCTCTGAACTCTCCAGTTCCCTAGGCACAAGAAAGACAGTAATGATCACAGTCTCCTGATCACAGCTTGCATTTTGTTCAAATGTTCAAGTCTTTGCAACATTTCTGTAGTATTCAATGCATTTTGACCAAAAACTGCTCCAGAGTGCAGGCAAAAACAGCTGGGAAAATATTAAGCCTCTCCTTATGCAGTGAGTATAAAAATAAGAAAATACAGGCTACATTCAGTATAATAAATGTCTAAGAAATTCCTCTTTGAGTTGATACTTTGACTTTACTAACTACATTCACAGGAGACAAATTATTTTGGTATATAGAGATAACAAATTGTGTCAGCTCAAGTTAATGTTGTACCACAATTATCAGAAAATTCTATTTTGACCTTTAAAAAAATACAGTATTTTCAGTCTTTCACCCACTCTTAATTCTAAGCACTGTACAACAGTTCTTGCAAGTTACACAAATATTTTTATTTTGCAGACAAGGAAACAAGATAAAATTTTTAAGTGACTTCTCCAAACCATTACTAGACCTGAAGAAAATTTCAGAAGACCCCCATCCTGTAACTTGCATTATCCATTAATCAACATTCCTGACAGAGTATGTAAGTATTAACTATCAACCCTATAAATGTTTACATTGTATCTACTGAGTGGCTACATAAGCTGAATAAATTGCAGAAAACTAATCTCTTACTGGGCTGCTTTCCTGTTGGGCCAGCATTACAGTCTAGGTCACCACACAGCTGTAGGAGAACTGTCACAAGGAAGTGGGCAAGAACATGTGGCCGGAGGTAGAGAGCAAGACCAAGTGCAGACAGAGGATAAAATTAGACACAGAGAGCAGACAGTGATCTAACAAAGTCCTCTGGTTTAGCCACAGGGTGCTGTAGGATTTTTTTAATTCATGCATAAAAACATAGAAATATGGGGCTGAAGAATTCACATATTAACTGGCCTGGCCCTCCTACTTTAAGGTAAGAACTAGCACATGCACACTGGCCATGGCTGATGATTCTCTAAGCTGTTCTCACCTCTTGCGAGGATACTGCATTGAGTAACTCAGGTAGCCACTGATGATGTTTTATCATCTCAGTAACAGATATCTTACAGACTTTTAGCTGAATCAGCTCTGGGGCACATTAAATTGATTTCTTTGCTTCCTCTGGAAATTATGGCAAGCCATTGATTACTGACACTTAAATACTGACATTTTTCATATCAAAGACTTAGGGTCTTTCCGGTCTCCTTTTATCCAATCTTTTCTCTGAGGTTACCTGTTTGAAATCTCTTAGAATTCAGAACTTTCTCCACTTCAGTTTTGTCTCTTGAAGGGAGGGAACTAAAACCAAGCACAGTATCCCGCTGATGGGGATCAGTACCAAACATAGCAGCAAAAGACTTCCATTGTCTGACAGTTGATTTATCATTACATGCAACAGTAAATGCTGAGTGAATTCCAACAATATATTTTTATGTGGAGAATAAAATGAAACATTATGCAAGGAAAGTCCCTGCTCTACTTTTGAAACAACATAATTACACACACATTCTCACACACATTATAATCTGGCTAGCTGCCTGTATGACCTACAAATTTCATTTCTTGTTATGTACTTTTATTTATTCAACATTCTTCATTGTTCAGAAATGTTGTATGCCATGACCTTGTCACTACAGTCAGGAGGCTGAGTAGGAACATCCTGGATGAGACAAAAGTTACACCTGTCAATAACTGCAAGGACTGTCCTTTCAGACATGGCCTCTCTGGCCACTTCAGAGGAAAGAAATGAAAAAAGAGAGCAAGGCTCCCCACAGCAAGGCCTTGAGTGAACAGAAGAGATGTGAACCAAGTGCCAAAGGTTCACTGCTGCCGTGAGCTAACATAAGAAGGTGTTTGGAAGCAGGTCTTCCTATTTTCATAGGGCTTCCCATATTGCACACTGCCAGTAGTCAGAGGGACTTGCATACAGAGGTTTTTTTGCCAACTTAATTTCTTTCTTTCAAAGATGGACCTGAAAGAACTGAGAACTGCAAGCTGCCAGAAAAACATGAATCTGGAGAAGTGTCTGCTTGAACTACTGGGTATGTGGACTGATCAGCACTGGCTCTAATGATCTTTGCTTTTCTTCCAAATTATTTTTCTGCCAAGTAAGTTTGGAACTACTTGACTGTAGTGGAAAACACCTGCATCTGCACAGTTCAGGACAGGAAAGAGTGGCTGGACAGCACAAGCTGAAGTCACCACTGACTCAAATGTGGAACCAGAGTCTTCAGTCCCTTTGGCCAGGCATGAGAAATCCCAAACAAAATGAAGAAATCAGTTCAAATAAAACTATTTTTATATCTTAAGAATCTGTAGATCCATTCACATTGATTATCTGAATATTGCAAACTACATGTTTTCTCATGATGCACTACACATGTTTGGCTTCACTCAAATTGCCTCTCATGCCTCATCATAGCACAAGCAATCTATAATGTTTTTGCAAATCAAGGCAATGGATTTCCTTTAATTTCAGCCAGCAGCTGTTGAAGCAGACCAATAAACAACAACAGCACAGTTCCCACTGAGCTCCAAAAAAAGGCTGTAAATACATTTAACAACCCGCAGCATAAACACATCTTCTGCTTTTAACCACCACTGAATATCTTTCAGAAAGTGTTTTTGTTACGTGTGTATTTGAAGAGAAGAAAGGCTTTAAAGGACACAACTGAAATGCCTCTTTTTCCAATGGACATATCGACACTCCCTGCTGCATTGCATCTCCCAGATGAATCAGCAATCCACAAACACCAGCAGCTAACCAACTTTCTGAAAATGAATTCAGTAATCAGTCTGATTAATTTAACATTTATGTATTTTAATGTGGGGACTTCAACTTGGGGAATACGATATGACTGGTGGAAGTCACAGGAGCCTGTAATTGTGTCTTGGTTGGCTTAAGGTATTTCCATAACACACTCCCACTGTTAGTACTGAAACGAACTCAGACATCTGAGTAGTGTGTGGTGTTTGACAGATTGCTGGCTATGGCCCTGAGCTGAGGTTTCAAGGGTCCCACTCACGTGGACTCACACCACAGCTAGCCACCACAACTCTTTGTGCCACCATCCTATAGAACACATCGTTGAGTTGGTCCAGAATAACGATATCCAGCATGTTTTTTCCTGTGGAGATGTTTTTCCCCACAGATCTCTCCAGCAATGGCTCAGCAGTCCGGCCTTGCCAGCAGCCATACTGCCAAAACCTCAGTGGTGGCAGGCAGATGCAGAGCCAGAAGGCTCTTGCGCTGACTTCGCCAAGGAAGCCACCGTCTTACTGAGTTATGCTTTCAGGGAGCAGCAACCTCTAAAACTCCCCTTGAGCTCAGCTAAGAGATGCCTCTACAGTGGTATATATAACGTGCTGAGGCAGCTTCCAAATTAAAACACGCACACAAAAAAAACAAAAAAACCAAAAAAAACAAAACAAAAAAAACCCAAAAAAACCCCACAAAAAAAAACCCCAGAAAAATCAACCTGAAATATTTAAAAACTGAATGAAAATTGAGTTAAAAATTAAATTGTGTTTCTTTATAGCACTGAGGTACCCGGTGCTTCGTCAAACCTGCAATTCATCCAAGTAGCACCAAATTTGTATAAAATGAAACCAATTTTGTCTTTGCCATCTTTACTAAAAGTGATGGGCTTCAGGAAACCATAACCCACTGCTTGGGAGAAGAGTTCTTGAGGAGACATCTCTAACCAAGAGATGCAAGCCAATAGAGCTGGTGATGCAAGCCCCAGTGCCTCCTTGCCCCTGAGACCAGTCTATCACAAAGCCTGGTTAAATTAAATCAAAGCCAAACGTTCCCTGTTGCTGGTGCAGAATATCTCACATTCATCCCAAGTGACAGCTATGCCTTAGATTAAATCTCTGAAAAAACAGGATATGCCAGGCAAGAGCTGGTGTACATCTGCCTGCCATTTCAACTCCACCTCCAGCTGGGGTAAGCAGGAGTCACTGGGAAGGTATTAACACTGTACTTCAGCCAGGACCATCCCACCAAGGAGAAATGACTAACAAAGGAGACATCTGTTTAGGCAGTGTGGAGTGTCACTGGGAAAATCATAGTTTTGGATATGTACAAATCCACTCTTCAGTGTAAGATTGCAGATCTTGCTATGGTGCTGGACTTGGGGCAGGGTGAACGTCAGTGGTTGAATCAGGTGGGAGATTCTGGCATTAGTGATCAAGCAGTTAATGAGAAAATCACTTTGCTTTCCATCTCTGTTTCCTTCCCTCCCTCTGTTCCTCCTCTTCTATTTTTGCTTTTGTTTTGCCTTTTTTTTTTTTCATTTCAACACATAGAGGCAAAGATTGAAGGATTCTGTGCAGCTGCTCAGTACTCAGGTTGCCTGGCCATTTTATGACTTGTTTTCTGTTCTACCTTGCCTTGTTTCACAGTTTTTACTATTGCACAGCACTCTGGTCTCCAGAGAGTTTCTGTCCCTGTTTCTAATTGCAGTGCATGTAAAAGGTGCTAAGTTTTCAGTAAGAACAATAAATCACTAACAAACCCAGAAAGAAGAATTTGAAAATGTTTTTCCTTTAAGCAGAAATTAAATGATTCAAGGAGACATGGGGGAGAAGCAAAGGCTGATCACAGAAGGCTTACAAAATCCCCTTCCAAAACAGAGATCACTTACCTGAGTAAGGAAAACTGCCTCTGATGGCTTTAAAGGAAACACTCCAATTTGGGCCTCCCCAAGCATCCCTGTCAGGCTACAAAAAGTGTCTCTGCTCACTTCTGCTGACACCTGTACCTGCTCAAAGTGGAAACTCCACCAAGCAAGAACAAGACACATGATTTGGGGCAAGCGGTGACTCCCCGTGTGAGACTCTGCTGGGCTATGCAGGAGATCCAAGGAACTAGGAATAACCTGATTTATCTCCAGTTCCACCTCCATCTATGAAAAGATCTTCAGGTAGGCACTGCATTGCAGCTCTTGTGTTTCCTCAGTTTTCCTAAGAGCTTTCTGTAGGTTCAAATACACTTGACTCCAAACCAGCCCACAGAAAGCACATGGTAATGAACTACAGCAGAGTACCTTGTTCCATTGTAAATGTTTAACGTAGTCAGAAGTCACCAAGCAAAGAGTAATGAATCACGCAGTCACTACTGTTACATTGCAACTGAGGAAAAGATAGCTGGAAAGAAAATATTTCACTACAGTTTGATAAGGGCAATGAGAAGTGCCTTAAAACAAGGCAACGTGATTTGAAATGGTATTTGTGCAGTAACTAATACTATTTTCAATGCAAGTGAGTGGAAACACAACCATGCTCAGCTGAAAAAAAAAAGTAATATGCTTTGCTGCTGTCAGAAAAACTTCAAGCAAATTCTTTGTACACTGGCAGGGAAGTCTTGGTTCTGCTTCAGTCAAAGGAAAAAGTCAGTTCTACACTGTGAAACAGCCCAAATTAATGCTCCTAAAGCACTGACAGAAGGAAACATGGGGGAAAAAAAAAGAGTTTGTGACAGTTTCTTGATTTTATTAGCTTAGGCATTCAGCTTCTGGAAAAGATGTACAAATTACTATCTACAGTGACATTGCCTCA